TATCTATATACAATGGAGTACTACTCGGCAATCAAAAAGAATGAAATCTTGCCATTTACAACAACGTGGATGGAACTAAAGTGTATTATGCTAAGCGAAATCGGTCAATCAGAGAGAGACAAATATCATATGGCTTCACTCACATGGAATTTAAGATACAAAACAGATGAACACAAGGGAAGCAAAAATAATATAAAAACAGGCAGGGGGCAAAACATAAGAGGCTCTTCAATATACAGAACCAACTGAGGGTTGCTGGAGGGGTTGTGGGTGGAGGGATGGGCTAAATGGGTGAGGGGCATTAAGGAGGACACTTGTTGGGATGAGCCCTGGGTGTTATATACAGACGATGAATCACTGAAATCTGCTCCTGAAATCATTATTGCACTATATGCTAACTAACTTGGATGGGGTTTGAGCAGTGGTCAGCCTCATTCATGGCCAAGGGTGGGTTCTGCCTGTGAGTTAGCACCCATGAAAACCCCCACGTTACTGGGAAGAAAAATCCTGCATGTGTGTTGGTTGCCTAATGAGGTCTTTGGTGAGAATTGCAGCTTTAAATAAGGTGACCCCACTCTGGTTCCATTAAAGACAAGGCTTTACCACCGAAGCACAGGTACACCTTAATTAAGCGCTTTATGAGCCCGAACAGGACGGGCACGAATGGATCAAATGCTGACACCATCCCCAGGCAAATCAAAGGAGCCCAGTGTCCCCATTAGGCCCAAAGGGGAACAGGGGAAATATATTCATCTGGATAAAATATTTCTAAATAGAATATAACTCTTAAATTTTGTGCTTTCTAGGAAATATTAGTGCCTACAGTCTCTGTTGTATTTCTGAACTCTATGATTAAGCAGAGGTACCAAGAAGGGAAATGAAATTGTACCATCTGACTTCTATGGAGTCTTGGAAAAAATGATGTCAGTGTATTCCCTATTTTATCCTTATGAATCAGGATTTATTGGGCTCTTGGCGCTGCCTAATTTTGGTTTCCAAGCTTTTTTCACATCACTGAAACTTTGGCACTCACCATTCTATCCCCCTAATTTTCCCCATCCTCGTAATCAAAGATCAAGCAACCCAATAACTAAATTGACAAAGGGGTTAGTTTTTGCTTTAATGATTCCAAAGGAATAGCCTTGTGTTCAGTCCTCTATAAATCACTGTCACCAGCGAAGCTCTGTGTGGGTGAGGGGCATTATTACATATACTCTAGGCCTTCCTCTGAGCCATCGTGGCACTTTTCTTTCAGCTGCAGAGGGGACCAGTGTACCTCAAACACCCACACAGCAATGCAGGGAGAAGAAAACGCTGTGTCCCAGGCTTAAGAAAGACACCAAGCTCCGTGAACGGTGAGGAAGGAAACAGATCAGAATAAGCCAGGGTTGCAGGGAAATATTTTTGCATAAAAAAGTGGAGATAGTTCTTAAAGAACAGGGGGAAAATAGATAGAGAAAGAAAAATATAGAATATTTCAAAATTTGTCACACATCCGCACTCTCAGACCTTCTCCAACTCTGATTCCTAGACTGAATGTATGCAAATCTTCTCTCTTTCACCATTGGGAAAATCTTTCTAGAACCAGTGAGCCAAGTAAGACGTTTCTCATTCGGTTTCAAAAATTATTTTTGATTCCTTACAATTACGCTTCTCAAGTGATTTTAGGGATTATAGTTCAACTACCTGGTTATACAAATTAGGGAAATTGATGTTCAGAGAGATGATGTGAGATGTTCAAGGTTTCACAGCAAGTTGGGGGCAGAGCAAGGACTAGAAGTGAGGTCTCCTGATTCCTATGTCAGAATCCTTCCACTCAAAGTGGGATCTAGACCCCGGGCTCTCCTGGACCCCTAAACATCAGGCATTTGTCTGGATCTGAATATCTTCAACAGCAGACTGTCCTCAGAAGTGCAGGAGGCTGAGTGAGAGGCATGGTCACAGTATCCAAGATGACTCCTTGCTTCTGGGGAAATGGCACAAAATAGAATACACGTACTGAACTCCCTATGTCCCACAATTGTGGCATCTTCACACGTGACACCTGTGGCAGCTGTGACACACGTGAATCATGACATGTGTCCTGTGTTCTCCAAGCAAGAGTCAGCAGCCCACTCCAAGTGTTCCCTCTCAGGGGCTTGCCCTGGGCCACCTGTCACACCAGTAGCCTGCTGGACACGATTGCTAATAAAAGCCGGTATACACTGTGTAACCCAGGCTCCCCCTTAAGCATCAGGAAGCCGCCCTGCACAAACACCACCCCTTTACCCATGAGAAGGAAATATCTGGGGACTTCGGCATGACGTCTAGAAAGCCAGCTGTGCCTGAAGGGCAAGAGTCCTCTCCTGGGGGGCCACAGCATTTGTTAAACCACCCCACTCTAAACTGATACCGAACCATGACTTAGCCATGCCTTATTGTTTTTCTTTTTCACCATAATTATTTTCAAACACTTTATGGTATGTTCTTCAAAGCACCATCTTCTGACTGAAATGATCAACAGAGTCCCTAACGTCTTCCCGCACTCCGCTTTAGTGGAAACAGCATTGCAGTATTCGGGTATTTAAAGTACTTTGGGTTTTTGAATGAACCCAGGTAACCGGTTTGGCCACAATATCTCTCTGGGAAGAGTAACCCATGGGACTAAACCTACCTTTGGTAAGAATTGGGACTTTCTAGAAAGTTCCTTCTGCTGGAATCCCCGGCTGCCATCAAAGCTGAGTTTAATTCAGCGGGAGAGGATTACCTTTACCAAGAAGCAGGTTGTATGGTAAAAAAAAAAAAAAAGTACGAGATCTGGAGCAATGTTGAGTTTGGTGCTGCCTTCACTCTGTAAACTCCAACAATACTTAACCTCGGAACCTCAGTTCTCAGTTTGTAAAATGGGAATAATAACATTTGCAAGCAATAATGAATTGAAAGTCTCTGGTGAGGGGCACCTGGGTGGCTCAGTTGGTTAAGGGTCCGTCTTCGTCTCAGGTCATGATCTCACAGTTTGAGAGTTCGAGCTCCGCATTGGGCTCTATGCTGCCAGCCCAGAGCCTGCTTCCGATTCTGTGTCTCCCTCTCTCTGCCCCTCCCCCACTAGTACTCTGTTTCTCTCTCTCTCTCAAAAATAAATTAAAAGAGAAGAAAGAAAGAAAGAAAGAAAGAAAGAAAGAAAGAAAGAAAGAAAGTCAGTCTCTGGTGAAATTCCACTGTCAGAATAAATGCTCACAAACAGTTCTGCTGACATTTTAGGAGAAAGATAGACTTCTAAGCTTTTTACTCAACCATGTGGAAAGGCAATCCAATATCACGTCATGCTTAAAGACTATATTCACTACGCTCCGTGCACACGTCTTGAACAGTCTCATGTTCAATAGCCGCTCACAATGACGATTTCCTATTGAGTTCTTTTTGAGGACAGCAGAGCTCTATTTTGGGAAAGGTTACTGGCAGTTAGGGTAACCTCTCGCTCCCACATCCATTTGTCACAGTAAACACTACCACAACCAATGGTCAGCAGATATGAGATTGAAGGAAGTCAAGAGCTCTGTGTGGCAACAGCCCCCTGGACATGAAGTTTCCTGGTTCAAGGCTTTAGGAAGATCCTTTCTCGGCAGCCTGGCTGGCATGAGTTTTACCCTTCTCTAACCAAACATGACTAGGCCACCTTTGTATTGTTAGAAAACCCGGAAGATGTGTGTCTAAGCCAACTGGCTCTTCGGTCTTTCCTCAAGGCAGGGGGACTTCTTGGGAGCCTTGTTGGGAGGTCTTTCCTCAAGCCTTAAAGACTTGTTGGGAGACCCCGTGGTATTCCTGAATGTTAGCGACTAACTTCATCCTTAGAAAGTAGAACTTGGATGTTGAGCGTACTGAGCTCTGCCTATCAGAAAGAAGCCAGTATGTCTGTATATCCAACAGTGGTTGCGAGAACATCTCATAAGATGTTCTAAGAACCACGAAGTTGAAAGTATGAATTGCAGCTTCTAAAGCCGGGAGCTAATTTCAGAGGGAGCTCCGGGGAACAAATAAGAGATATAAGACACTGGACCCTGAGAGAGAGAGGAAGGGCGAGGGCTATTTTCTGCAAAAAAATTAAAAATCAGAGAAATACAACACTCTGATACCATCTTACCCAGCTATGCCACAGGCCTGGGGACTAGAATATTTCTCTGAGGTGGCTGTAACAAACCTTTCACCAGTGAAAAAGCCATTTCTAAAAGCCTCAGGGAAACTCTTAAAATACCAGCCAAATCTATTGTAACTGCCCCTCTTTTAATAAGAGATTCTTTTTTTTTTTTCAACGTTGACTTATTTTTGGGACAGAGAGAGACAGAGCATGAACGGGGGAGGGGCAGAGAGAGAGGGAGACACAGAATCTGAAGCAGGCTCCAGGCTCTGAGCCGTCAGCACAGAGCCGACGCGGGGCTCGAACTCACGGACCACGAGATCATGACCTGAGCCGAAGTCGGCCGCTCAACCGACTGAGCCACCCAGGCGCCCCAGCCCCTCTTTTAAATGTTACAAAAGAAAAACAAAACAGAACTACCTATGGCATATTTTACTTATCTCCAGTCTTCATTCCAAAAATAAAAACTTAGAAAACACCGTGTTTTAACGGTAAAGAATTCGTAAAAGTTCTCAAATGCTCATCCCAAGGGTTGCTGTTAATTTTTTTTTTTTTTAACATCCTGAGCCCAGAACCCCCTGGAAGTCCCTAGTAGTGCTCAGCGAAAATGGTCCTTTTATAGAGTGAGCCATTATTGAAAACACCTGGTTGTGTAGCGAGTGCTTCACAGAGAAGGCTGTGAATAGACAGCTCAACAAATAGGTAGGGCTAAGAATGTCGACATTACATACCCTCCCTTGTGAGGGCCCTCCAGACCAACACAAAACCCCTTCACTTGGTTTAGATCAACCCCTCCCCATTACAACCACCCAAGGACTATAACCTCCATGCAGAGGCAAGAAAACAGCCAAACCTAGGAGTCTACGGGAACCCCAACTTTACTCACTTGTCTTCTGAAAAGCTTTCCCCAGTAATAACGTTCTTTCCTTGGGGCACATAGTTCCAGTATTCTTCCACAATCCCAATGTGGTATGTTCTGGTAACTGCACCAACCAGCCCAGACAGACCCAGGAATGTGAAGAGAAAGACGCAGTCAGCCTGCTGCTTCCGAGGCATTTGTGGATGTAACTCAGGCAAGCAGCCTGCACAGGAGGCAGCCCGGCCTGTCCCTCCCCCTCACTTGAAGCTAATTATAAATAAGGAATGAACGAGGCCCAGCTCCTCCCCCTTAGGTGGCTTGGGGTTGGGACAGAGACTGACAACTTGTGTAAGTAGCGCGAACAATGAGGGGAGTTCGATGATGACAAAACGTTTGCCTGCCATCCAAGAAATGTGTGCACGGCTGTGACATTAGTCATTCATCTTTGCCAGGAATGGGAATGCAACAAGTTGGGCTAATGGGTTTCCTCCCTTCTTCCTCGTTTTTTTCTCCACACCTATTATAGGAACATATTAAAATCTGGAAACTGGGCTGGCCTGAGTGGACCATCAGGAAAGTTCCTGAGCACTAAAGAAAGCTTCATCTCTGATGGGAGGGCAGAGGGAGTGATGTAATCCCCCTCCGCCATCTCCAACTTGTTTTATGAGGCTACATGAAACAATCAACTCACATCATAAAGTTTATAACAACATTGTAAAACCTCACTAATTCTCCATTTGGTCATGCACCATCTCCCCCAAATTCTCTCAAATCTTACCAGCAAAAACGAGAAGCTCAATTACTCAGTTCAGCCAAAATTTTAGAGGTCATCACCCTCAGTGAGCTGCCTTTGTAAGGATGAATGAAAATGCTGCAGGAGGAGTACCGTTCAGGCACATGAAGGTAAAATTCTGTAGCAGGTGTTTGAGTCAAAAAGGCGAAGGGAGTACTTACTCTTCTGTGTGCTCTAATCTGTGACCTAGAATCTTGACAGAGACCTTGTCCAACCCTGGAGGAGCGCCAATCTGATCGCCATGAAGAGTTGCTCTGGAGGCAGCAGCCATGGAATAAGAAGACAGCCTTCTGGCTTGGCTTTGAGATTGGCAGACCTGTGTTTCAATCCAGTCCCACCACATAGTGGCATTGAAGAATCACTCGCCCTCTCTAAGCCTGGATCTGTAAAACAGGGATGGAGGGACTGTTAAGGAGATTTAAAGGATGACAGAGCAGCAAATCTAGATGATCTTTGGTTTGATGATGAGCTTTTCAATACAACACCAGAGGCATAGTGCATGAAAGAAACAACTGCTGAGCTAGACTCAAAAAGTAAAAATTCCTGCTCCGTGAAAGTTGCTGCCAAGTGAATGAGAACAGAAACTGCAGACTAGGAAATATTTTGCCAAAAGACATCTGATAAAGGACGGTTATCCAACATATACAAAAACTTTTAAAAACTCAGCAACAAGAAAACAAACAACCTGATTTAAAAAATGGGTAAAAGGTCTCAAGAGACACCCCATCAGAGAAGATATACAGATGGAAAATAAGCATAGGAAAAGATGCTCCACATCACATGCTATCAGGGAAATGCAAATTAAAGCAACAATGAGATACCACTACGCAACTATTAGAATGGCCAAAATCTGGAACACTGACTACACCAAATGCTGCGTGTGAAGCAACAGGAACACTCATTCATTGCTGGTGGGAATGCAGAATGATACGGCCACTTGGGAAGACATTTTGGCACTTTCTTACAGAACTAAACATACGAATGGAACATTCTCCAGAATTGAGTACATGAATAGGCCACAAAACGAATCTCAAGAAACTCAAAAAGATTTTTTTAAAAAACCTAAATATACAGCACACATTAAATATCTTACAGGTTTATTTGTCAATTATACCTCAATAAAACAAACAAACAAAACCTCTTCCCATATGACACAGCAGTTATGCTCTTGGATATTTACCCAAAGGACTTGAAAACTTATGTCCATACAAAAACCTTCACATGAATGGTTACAACAGCTTTATTCATAATCGTCCAACCTTGGAAGCAACCAAGATGTCCTTCAGTAGGTTAGTAAGTAAATAAACTATGGCACATCCCAACACTGGAATATTATGCAGCATTAAAAGGAAACAAGCTAATATTCTATAAGAATATTATAAAATATAAGAATTATTATATTATATACTATATTATATATAATATTATAGAATATAAGAAAATATTCTATAAGATATTATACTGATAGATCCATGTCATTATACATTTGTCTAAACCCATAGAAAGCACAACACCCAGCGTGAACCCTAATGTAAACTATGGACTTTGGGTGATGTGTCAATGTGACTCATCAGTTATAACAACTGAACCATGATGGTGGGGGATGTGGATTATAGGGAAAGCTAAGCATGTGTGGGAAAGCTCTGTACCTTCTGCTCAACATTTCTGTGAACCTACAACCACTCTAAAAAAGACAATCTATGTTAAAAAATATATATATTTAAAAAGATGTCTGCAAAGTTCCTATCATGGCTCCAGCATAGAGTAGGTGTGCAATAAATGTTCAATTCGTTCTTCCCCATCCACACCCCCTTAAGAAAGACTCCCTCAGCCTCTGTGATGACAGAATGCCATCTCCAACCTTCTGCTTTCTTCCCAGGAGTCCCATCCACCATATCTCCCACAAGCCTCAAGTAAGAGAGTCCCTTTTCTTTAAATTATAGATACCTCAGAGATGTGCTGCAGCATGAGTTTTGAATTAACATCCATATTAGCTGATAAAATACATGTCTGAGTATTCTGTTTCATAACCAGCCTCTCAACATCTTGGCCATATTGATTTGTTTTTACGTCAAGACACTTACAGAGTAATTGCCATAGCACATTTCCCTTTAACTGAAATCTACTCTTCAATATGCATTTGGAAGCTTTGTGTGAGTTTGTCACTAATAGCTACTACAGAGGAAGGACTCACAGGGTGAATCTGAGCATGGCCTCAAGAGAAATAGGGCTTCAGGAGTTTTTGGAATCTGGATATGTCTTGGGCCAAAGAGCTTTGTGTTTATACCCTAGAGAAGCAGATTATTTTTCTTTCTTTCTTTCCTTCTTTCTTTCTTTCTTTCCTTCTTTCTTTCTTTCTTTCTTTCTTTCTTTCTTTCTTTCTTTTCTTTCTTTATTCCTTTTTCTTTCTTTCTTCTTTCTTTCTTTCTTTTTCTTTCTTTCTTTCTTTCTTTCTTTCTTTCTTTCTTTCTTCTTCTTTCTTTTCTTCTTTTCTTTTCTTTTCTTTTCTTTTTCTTTTCTTTCCTTCAGATAAGTGTATGGTGTGAGGAGAGAGAACTGGCAGGCTCCATGCCCAGCACGGATTCAATGGTGACTCACCAACCCTGAGATCATAACCCTAGCTGAAATCAAGAGTCAGATGATCAACCAACCGAGCCACTCAGGCACCCCAGAAGCAGATTATTTTAGGTCAAGCAGGCTTGATGTGGCATCAAAAAATTCATTAGGATATAGTCCACCGCAATTGGGGGGAGGGGGTGGGCAGAAGAAACAGAGGTATAAGTGGCACAGATCGAAAACACAAAAGAGTTAACTTTCCTACCTGGGACACTGAATGCATGTGATTGAGTCCCTGAGGAAGGCATCACCTAACTTCTGATTCACACCAAGGCTTGACAGAGGATACGAGAGACCCGAAGCCCCAGAGTTCCGGCAGCGGACCGGGGCATTCAATCTGTCTGGAGCTAAGAGTGTGGCTCCCAAGGGGCAAAAGAGACAGAGAAACAGTTTACTGAAAGCAGTGAAATCGCATCTGGAAAACACTCTGAAATTCTTCTTTACCCTGGGACAACGAAGATGCTCAGCAAGGAACTAAATTGCATAAGAGCTAGAAGAAAGGGAAGTAACCGGTGTAAGTGAATGCAGTGTTCCTATGACACTCATTTCTGAGAACCCGAAGTTAAATACAAGACGTGGTGGGCAGTGTCTGGCGTTTGATTAGGAAATCTGTGAGTGATAACACTGACATGTATTTTCAACTCCCTTGGACACAAATCATACATAAATAAAGCAGAGAAACCCAGTGTCTAGAGAGCATTGACTGTGTGAGATGACAGTCCATTATTTCCTCAATACACTCACCAGGTTTGAGATACGGCCAATTTGATGGCATGCATTGATAGAAGAGAAAGATAGTCTTGCATCAAATCAGATTTCTCTGAAACAGAGTACAGGATATTCCAACAACAAAACCGTTCATGGGAGAAACCAATTCAGAGAAATAGTATTCTAGCTAGCCTTGGCTGAGGTGTCATTTTAAATAGTAAAGGGTCAAAGACGAAGTTGGCTATCCCACTCTTTTTTTTTTCTATAAATATTTTTTCTATAAATTTCTATAAATACACCAGTTACAATATGACAATGGAAAATGTATTTTTTGTTAATATAGTTTATTGTCAAATTGGCTGACATACAATACCCAGTGCTCATTCCAACAAGTGCTCTCCTCAATGCCCATTTCCCCTCTCCCCCACCCTCCCATCCACCCTCAGTTTGTTTTCTGTATCTAAGAGCCTCATGGCTTGCCTCCCTCCCTCCCTCTCTGTTTGTAACTAGTTTTCCCCCTCCCCTTCCCCCATGGTCTTCTGTTAAGTTTCTCAAGATCCACATATGAGTGAAAACATGATATCTGTCCTTCTCTGGCTTTGTGTGTGTTTTGGGAACTACATTAAATATTCCTTAAGTGATTCTTGGTATCCTAAACTCGGATTGAAAATTCCCATCAGTCTTACTCCCCTGCCAGGTTGTGGCTCTCGGGTCTCATCAGGACCCTCAGTTCCTGGGCGGCACCTCATTATTTCTCACCTGGAATTCTATAGCTTCCTAACCATTCTCCCTGAGGCCAGAGTGACCTTCCTGAATGCAGATAGCAGCACATCCCCACCGCTTCAGAGTTTTCAGTTGCTCCTGTGGCCTTCAGGATAAGGCTGACAGCTTTGACTTGACTTTCAAGGCTGGTCCTGATCTGACTCCTGGGGACTGGGACCTCTCCTCAACACTTCGTCCATGCTCTGATGATGATCGTGATCGTGGCAACGAGTGCGCCCTTCATTTGTGCTTCTGTCAAGACTCTGTGGGTGCCTCTGCCATTGCACTTATCACACACATGGTAATCACCTGTTTGTT